CTTTTACATTTCTACTTCCATTTATGTTTTGGTTGAATTTTGGCCTGCTACATTTTCCAGATTTCTATCAAATTCCATTTTTTGCTTGCAATCTGCATTTCTGCCTAACTATATTTTCTACACTTTTTTTGGTTAATTTTCAGCGCTTATTTTTAGCTTATTCACTCTCTAGTGCTTTAATTTAATCTTTCTTGATACTAGTCTACCATAACCAAAGTACTTGACGTGCTTCTATGGCAAATTTGAGCTCATTGTGCAAGAACTAATCCTTGATTTTTGTCAATTGTCTTATGTGGGTGCATTAAATTCTAAATGACATTCTTCCAACCGCCTTTTCATAGAGAAAAATCAAGTGGAAGAAGAGGGTCTTTAGCGAATCCTTTTCTTACTTTTCTTGCAAAATTAAGTGACAAGCCTTTGTCCAATCCTTGGTGCCCTAGTGACCACCCTCTTGAAAGAGTGCGATGGACATATAGGCTTGGGTTCTAATCCCAAGCCCTACAATCCTCTTCCCCTAAAAATTCCCCTCTATTCAAAAAAAAAAAGTGACATGCCTTCATTCCAATTTTTACCATGAGGTGTGGTTGACAAGATTTTAAGGGTAACAATTCTTGATGATTATTAAAATTCTCCTCTCATCTCTGAACTTCTTCCTCTCAAATTCTTTGCTGCTCCTCTGGTCTCTTATTTTGTTTATTTTCTCCCATAGCTTCACTTTCTTCTCAATTTCCTAATCATGTTGCATCAAGGTTTTCTAAGAAATTTGTTGGGGAATAAGCCCAACATTGGCTTTAGGCCCAAAGAACTCATGTGAAGCCCAAAGGTGCAAACACAGTTATCTTAATACACCCACGTGACTTGGTACAAATGGACAGTAAGAAAAGGGCACGTGGTATTAGTGTTATAAATAAGTGCTATAAATACCCCATTTACCTTTATGCAATAATAACTTCATTATGCTTCCCTTTTTACAATATTTCTATTTTAAGAGCTTTCTTCTCTAAAATATTAAATATTGTTAACTTAAATATCAAAATGTCTTCTCAAAGATACATCCTCAAGATTTTCAGGTATCAGACCAGTCCAAGAACAATATGTCAGTTTGTGAAGCTGCCCAAACAAAGTTGAAGTAATTAAAGGCTTAAACCTCTATTTTCAAGTCAGACGCTGCACAGTTTCATGTTCTTGCCTATTTTCACCATCTTTATAGTCTCTGTCAATCAAGTCCAAAATTTTTCGGGAAAGTGTTCGCTTATACATGGGTTTAGTTTAGGAAAAGTGTTCACTTGTAAGAAAGTGCTATTATTATTAATCATGTAAATAACTTAGGGATAAATTTTTTTTATTATTTAAAGGTCAGTTTAAATCGCATTGCATGATGTATGGAGGGGTAAAGTGCAATTTGAAATTTATGTGCTAAAAACAAATTTTTTATCTTATAAATAAAATTAAAACATACAAAACTAAAATTTTAGAGCTTTAAATATCCAAAAACTTATTAAAACTTATGCATATTTAAATTTCAATTCAAAACATAATTTTTATCACAAAATATTATTTAATATGATATAACAAGTAAAACTAAATGTTTTAAAAAAATTAAAAATACCAATTTCAAGTTCATTTTATTTTGTTAGTTGGTACAAATAATCATTAACCAAATATATATTACAACTATCAACAAATATATCAAATAAATAAAAATATTTATAAAAATATATTTTACTTGCCCAGTTATTAATGATTTTAAGAATAAAAGTTAAAATACATTATTTTATTTCTTTTAAGAAGGGTTTCTTTAATTTTTTTTTTTTTAAATATGAGACTTATTTAATTTTTTTTAGAAGTCCAAGGGGCAAGTACCCCCTTGCATCTTAGTTCTGCCTTGAACGAGGAAGATGATTATCTTTTATCAGATAACTAAAAATATTAAGAGAGAGAGAGAGAGAGAGAGCTGTCATCGCATTTTTTCAGCAGCAAAAAATGGACCTTTTAGACGTCTAATTTATCTTTAAAAAGATTCAAAAGTTAACAAAGAGAAGACGCCATGAGTTCGATTGGTTTCTATACTAT